GAATATAAGCGCTTTAGACCGCTACACCACCGACCCGATGATATGTAGAAAATGAAATCTCCTACTTTTTAGTCTCTGGTTTTAAAATCATTTTATGATTTTTTTTTAAATTTAGTGTATAAACAGGACAAATAAAAAAATCACGATTCTTATACTTATCTGTGTACAGTAAGGAAAGGCGGGGCCGACTAGAGGGAGGGGGGTAGTCGGGACGAATTCCCGGGGCCCGGGCTTAAATGGGGGCCCGACAACAGGTTTTTTGTGTTCTGCATGAGAAAATCGACACAAGATGAGAGAGGGAAGTTAAGTTTAAATTAGTTTTAGCCTAGGGAAGTCTTTTTTTTTTTTTTTTTTAGAAGAAATAATTCGCTGTGTGCAAGACTGGTAGCGCTCTCTGGTGACGGGATAGCGACAGTTCTCTCCTCATTCATTCCCGCATACTTGCTATACACCTCACACTCAACAGTTCAACTTGAAAATTCTTTTTCAACAATAAAGTGTTGCAACAAGTTTTGTGTTTGCTTCATAAAACGAGCATGTCTGCAATAAAAACATATTATCCTGTGTTTTATAGAAACCTCTATGAATTTAATGAGTTAACATTTTAATTGAAGTATACCTATTCTCGGCTGCGATTTGATTTGCGCTTTTTTTCGGATCTGACCAAGGAAATATTGTCGGTACATAACTTGGGCTACTTTCTTCTTCTCGTTTTTTATTTCCAATAAAATGACCACTGCATATATAATCATTCCGTTTTGGCACCCAAGGTGAACCATCAGCGCTGTGGAAAAACCATTAAATCTATTACGTTATAAATAATTTATTTATCACTATTACTTGAGCATTCAAATACCGCTCCTACTTTCGATGTTTATGATATATATATATACGACAGAGGTTATGTTACTCACTTTTTTCTTTTCACAGCTGCTATCCATTTCTTTTTTTGCTCCAATTTATGTGATGCGGTTGGAAACGTATAAAACTTACACGCACTATTTTTGCTAGTGTTTTTACACTCGACAACACTACAATAACGACGACTCATTTTAATACCCAACACGAGACCCACACACGCTGCCGCGTTACTACGATGATGTGGACAATCGCCGACTCCTGCCACCATAGGCGCTGCGATAGCTCAATCTATTCCCTCCAAGCCAAATGCACACAGCGAATACAACCAAGCTTAGCTTTGAATCTAAAAAGCAATACTTGAACACGATGTGGATGTCCCAACACAGCATGAAAATACTAAAAATTCGGAAAGGGTAATGGCCTAAAATGAAAATAGGGTAAGTATTTTTTTTTTGCATATTTTATTTTAGTTTCAGGTTCTAGTTTCCAGAAGACTCAGCTTACCGTTGATGATGTGTTGCCATTGATCTGGCAACCTAGGGATACGACATGCGTAAACGAAAAGTGGGACCGGTCCGCCATTACTGTGAGTGCAAATTGTCAAATTTTATAGGTTATATTTTTAGTGTCAATTGTGTAATTAAATTTGAATTTAATTTGTGTTTGAGCTAATTTTGAGTGTTAAAAACTTATAAAGTATATAATGCCTTGCTGTGTTATACGTTCCTTCCTGCTCCAGCGATAGACGTTTTTGTGAAAAATCTACTGGAATAACGTTTCATAGGTTAGTACCAAAATTATAAATATTATACAGGACAGTATTATGACAGGTTTGTATAAAATGTGTAAAAGTATGCTTTTAAAAATGCAAAAAAAATCATCTATCAACTTTTGGGCCCACCTATATTGGAATAAATACTTTTTCATACGAAATAATATTTATGGATTTCCAAAAAATCCTGAAAAACGTAGCGCGTGAATACAGTTTGTCAAGAAGCATAATTGGGAACCTTCTAAATTCAGTTGTATATGTTCCAAGCATTTTCTTGAAAATTACATTAATCGTACGCTATTTCGTTTATCAGATTTATAGGCATTTTATATTCTTATTTCTATTTAAATATAACCTACATTTGCGGTCCTTCCACCAATTTTATTTATTAGTTCTACAGCTGATTGAAAAGTAGAGCTTCATGTTTTGTGTATGCTTGAGTATTGTTTGTTTTATTATAGTTAATTTAAAACAATATTAATATACCTTTTTACTAACCTATAATTTGTTTCAGATTAGTGTGTTTAAAGGAATTGGTGAAAATGAAGCGATTCGCCAGCTTTGGGGATGTGCCAGTAAAAGTGACATCGAAGTTATTCAACGTTTCCAGAATAAAGTATTAAGGAACATGGTACTGCCACAATACTGATCTTCATAGGAACCTTAAAGTGGAGACTGTTGAAAATACAAACATTTGCCAGTAGTCACCAACGACTACTCCAACATGGAAACCTCGAGATTATCCAGCTCCTCAACAATGCCAATCTAATAAGAAGACTCAAGAGAATCAAGCCTTTGGAGTTAGTTCAGTGATGTTAAGGCAGAGTATAGTGCAGTTAAGTGATTTAGACTCTAAGGTATATTAGAGAGTAGAATATCGGTTTGTGCATTTTTTCATCCCTTGATAAGTTAGAATAAAATTTCTAATTGATCTTAATGGTTAGGTTGTAATAAATGTTTCTTTACTTGGGGCATTTAAAAAAAAAACTGTTTCAAATTAGTGCATTTAAAGGAGTTGGAAATGAAGTGATTCGCCTTTATATTTTATGAAATAATGTTTAAAAATTATTTATTTGTTTGTTTGTTTGTTTGTTTTAAGAATCAATGTTTGAATTTTGTGTATTTTAAATAGACATGTATATTTATATGTCTTTTTTTAGTCTAATAATATTTAAAAAAAAGCTAGAATTTCTGAAATATTACTATTTAATATCTCTAAAAGATTCTAATTTTTATTTCAGAAATATTACTGTGAAATATTATATTTACAGGATATTTTTTCGCTTCAGGCACATTTCAGAAATGTTTCAATGTAATATTTTTGAAATATTTTCGAAATGTGTTTGTGCTGTATTGGAAAGTCCTCAAGAATAAATTAATATCGAACAATGCATTAAGATAGTGCTTCTCATTCTTTTATTCGTAGAGTAATATCTGCTAAGCGACTTAACATATCTCTCCCACAGAATTTAGTAATGTTTAGATTTTTCATTAATTATTATTAATAATTAATATGTACATATTTTTAATTAATTTATCTATTATTATTTAGGATTTTATTATTATTTAATAACTGTAATATGTATTATTGTATTGTTTTAATGGGCTCTGGCCCATACATAAATAATATACCTCCATTCAAAAATAAAAAAGTATTTTCTGTAGTACGAATTTGAACACTAATAAAGTCAGTTAAAAAATAGTTTTTAAAACACTTTAACATTTAAACATTATAAATTCATAATTATATTTAATTTTGTTGATATTAAAATGTTATTGACCTGTTTATTTAGTAATAATACCACGAGTGCTATCAATATAAGCATGGCTTCGCTGATTTACTGAATGTCTTGCATGAAGATATACACCTTTCAGTCTGAATCTACAAAAGTACCAAGACCAAGTAAGATTAATCCACATTTTGATTTCCTGAATAGTGCATCTACCTACACAGAGATTACTTATTAGCCATTTTCCGCGAGCCTTGCATTAAGTTTCGTATCTGATCATCGAGCTTTTAGTGTATGAACATTTGTTCTTAATTTCGAGAAAGCTGTTAATTAAAGTAAGGTTAGATTACTTGACATTTGCGACCTTGTACTTTCCGATTTAAAGACAGAAGCATTGGGCTCATAGAAAAACAAAAAACTAAATATTGGGCTATTTATGTGCCCTAGTGCAAACGTGTGACGACTGATCCAATAACTCGAACTCTGTTTACTTTTGTCGCTTATGTGAACCAAAAATGTACTATTTATTTTTTCTGTGAATGATTTCAACGCTTTAGGGTTAATTCCACCAGTGTGTTAAAGTTTAAACTATTAATTGAGGATTAAAATTACATTTTATGTAAAAATGTCATTTTAAACTTCGTTAAACCCAATGGTGGAATCGGCCCCAAGTTAGTTATATCATGGTCATTGATTAGTTGCAATTTTGCAAATAATATATTCTCCAGCGCTTAATAGCCACTTGAGTGATAATTAAATCAGTTATAATTTATTTCTTTCATTTACTTTATTCAGCACTTTTCGGCTGAAAACCGGGCATATTTAAGCTTTTATAACCTCGGCCTTTCACTACCTTTTAAGTCAATGTCAATAAAAAGGAAATTTATTTTTTTATAGTTCAAATAATGTTATTTAACCAAAAATAATACAATAAAAACTTGTAATTCCGGTTCTGCTCTTCCGCCATTTTAGTGAGTGCAAAAGCCACGCCTACCGGTCCCACTTTTGTATATCAAAAATAATACATATGACGTATCCTTACGTTGCCTTATCAATGTGTGTTGCCAAAATGTAGAGGTTTTTCTTTTTAGACAAACCAAAAATCCAAAATAAATTGAAATATTTAAAACTCGTTAAATAAATTATAGTCCTGCCTAATTTTCTTTATTTTAGCTTATAAAAAATTCGTAAAACTTACGAAATAATCTTCCACGACCATGTGCTCTCAACAAAGCTATCAAAAGAAAAAGGAAGGTTCAAAGTTCAAGGCAACTGTCAAGTCTTCAGGAAACTTCCTGTATTTAGGGACTTTTACAAATATTAAGATTGTACTAGTGCAAATAAATAAAAGAAGAAGTATTTGGTGACAATAATTATAATGTCATTGGAGCACCTTTTGTTGTTAAAATGTAAAAATCCGTCGAAAACTCTAGGTCGAAAAAATCATGATTCTTATATCTGTGTACAGATAGAAAAGTAAAAATTATAAAAACTGACACCACTTTCTTGTACACATGATTATGATGCACAGTAAAATATGTATAAGAATCTTTTATAGCCAAGCCCGTTTTAAAAAAGTGTGAACAACATATTATATACTCGTATTTGGTAAGGTAGAAGTAGGTAATTTTACTCACTTTAATCATCAAATATTCTTCATCAGGCGCTTCAGTTAAGAATTGATCAACTTGTTCCCCCGTTAGTGCTTTCGATATAAACGGTTTGTATCCATCGTTCATTCTTTTAAGATAGGTTAATAAGTTCTTAAACTCACTTATATCGATATTATCTTTAATAATCAACATGGCTTTCAGCATGGAATATTGTGACCATAGAGTAGAAGCTTTAACGTGTCCCGATTTCTCACCAAAGTACAACAGCAACAATTCTTCGGTGACGTTTTGTTCGTTTTTCTGATTACACCACTTGTTGAATTCCTCGTATTGTTTTTCGTAGATTTTTCTCGATTTTTTCGATAGCAATTCGGCCGCTTTCGCTTCGATTATTTCAATTTCGGGCGTTAAATTGTCAACGAAATCTTCGTACTGGTCCATGTTTCGTATCTGTGTTGTTTTAATTGTGTTTAACGAAATTATAACAATTTGTTTATATGACAATTATTTGTTAGGTTATGTTTTCGTATCGCATAAAATGTCAATATTGGGGTAGGTACCTGCATTTCGTATACTTGGTGTAGAAATTACAACACTTTATAACTTCGTAGACATGTTTGAGGGCGAAAAAATCTACAATTGCCTCAATATTTTACCATTTTGTGTAATACATTTAGTTTAATTATTATTTTCACTTTCAAGCTTTGAGCGCGCGCAATACAAAACAAAACCGTTCAACTCGACACTCAATAACAGGGTTGCCAAGTCGCTCGGCTCTAAAATCCAAATATCGCACACAATGTGATCATAATTTCGTATTTTACAATTGTATTATTGTAATTCAATTTCTTTTGTATTTAATAATTAAAACAATGAAAAACCACTATTCAAATTTAAAATTGATACAGGGTGGTAAGATAAGACGTTAATAAAAATAACAGTAAGGTATTTTTCGCGGCATACCTATACCAAAATGAACGTTTATAGAAATAGAATTTATTCATCTTTGAGAATTATACACTATACAAAGACACTAGGTACATAATGTAAAATCCTATCAGACTAGTCAAAAAAGTGTTAAGTAAAATACATTAAAAAATAAAATATATATAATAGACAATTCATGTTAAGATTAGTTTAAAAGTTCAAAAAATCTTCTATACTATAAAATACATTATTTACAAGAAAATCATTAAGATGTTTTCTTAAATCATTAGGACTAATTTGATGATAACCTGTAGTATCTTCTAATATGTTACTGAACTTATTGTAACACTTAATCCCAATATATTTTGGGTGAATGCTGGCTTATTTGTAGTCGTGAAAGAGGTTGATGGATCTTAAATTTTAATCTAGTATCATATGAGTGCAGGTCTTTATTTTTCTTAAATATATGCTCATCTTTTATGTATAAAATTAGTTGAAAAATAAAAAGGGAAGGTAGTGTTAAAATTTGCGTTTTCTTGAAAAGTTCTTTACATGATGTTGTTGGTGTCACCTTATACATGGCTCTCAGAACCTTCTTTTGAGATACAAAAGCTCTTTCAAAGTATGGTGAAGAACACCAAAATATTAACCCATATTGTAGAATTGAATGAACCAAACCAAAATAGCATAGTTTTAAAGTATCAAAAGATAGTGTCTCCTTAAATTTTTTATGATGTAACAACAAGTACTTAATTTTGAAGTTACCATTTTTATATGAGCTTCTCAATTTAATTTGGGATCTAATATTGTTCCTAAAAATTTTATGTCATCAAGTCAAGTTTTTCCATCAACGTGCAAGTAGGGTTCGTAATCTGGTAATATGTTTTTGGGTAGAAATTGCATGAAGTTTGTTCTTGTTACATTTAATGCCAGACCGTTATCTTTACAATACTGGTTAAACTCACGAGATGCCTCGTTGCTACTTTGAGTGACCTGTTCAATTTGATCATCTGCCATTACAATATTGGTATCATCAGCATATTGAACTATTTGTTGAGAGCTTAAACAAAAATTACTTATATCACTTATAAAAACTATAAAAAGAAGTGGGCCCAAAATTGAACCTTGGGGAACTCCTATTGTACATGGAAGAGGATCAGATTTTAGACTATTTGTTACAATTACTTGAGTTTGATTTATTAAGTAAGACTGTATCCATTCATAAGGTTTACTTCGTATTCCTAACCCATTCATCTTCAATAATAAAAGAGTATGATCCACCATATCAAATGCACGGCTAAGGTCATAGAAGAGTCCCAAAATATGTTTTTTATCATTGAGTGCTTGATATATAAACTCTAGGCAAGCTGCAATTGCAGTAGATGTTGACTCATTTTTTCTAAATCCATTTTGAGTATCTGGCAAAATACTAAAACTTTCAAGGTAATTAGTGAGTCTAATAAAGTATGCTGACTCAAATATTTTAGTTATTTGACTAGATATACAGATTAAACGATAATTTTCTATATTAGATGCAAATCCCTTATTTTTATAAATAGGAATTCCTTTAGATTCCTTCATATTTGGGAATAATCCCGAAACAAAGGATTCATTAATCAAATGTGATATGGGTTCAGCAATACAATGAGCAACCGATAACAGAATTTTACCATTTATTTCGTCAATACCTTCAGTGGGCTTAGAAGTAGTTTTTTTGATTATAGTGATGATTTCACTAGGAGTTGCTCGAAAATGAAAAAACTTTTATGATGTTTATCAATACTAGTATAGTTAGGTACAATATTATTTTTATTTACATTAATAAAATAGTCATTGATATAATTTACTTTTTCTAAGGGTGTTAATTTGTCATCATTTGTAAGTTTAATAAGGATTCAATAAGTTGTTTTTTCTTTTTCCTCTACTCTCGTTTATTATATTCCAGGATTCTTTCTTTAAATAAATAATGTTATTCAAACATCTATAGCCGTCTATAGACGTCTAAATAACATAATCTATCATACATGTTCATGTTGGTTTATGCCGCGAAAAATACCTTAAAAATAATATTTATTGTTTCTGAAACTGTTTTATAGCAATGAGTACAAAGTACAGATATTGTATACAGGGTCCTCTACTATTTTATATGGACAGCATTGCTATTTCTTAAACGGTAAAAGTTTCGCAGTTTTGAGTTTTGTGCTCACTAAAATGGTGCCAAGAAACCTTTGATATCTACAGGGAGATTTAAAACATCGCACAAAAAATTTAAATTGTAATTTCTTTAAATTCATTCATTTTGTCCGATATTTTGAGATATCTAAGAGGTTTCTTTGTATCATTATAATGAACACAACACTGCGCAACTTTTGTCTAATTTAAACCACTTTCTATCAGTTACCGTTTAAGAAATAACAATGCATGTTCCTATGAAATGGCAAGGACTCCGTATACACACATCTCTTAAGTCTTGGCTTCCTTTGGTAACTTTTACAGAGTTCAATGTAAAGGTGGGTATAGATATAACGCGCTAAAAATAGGCATAGGTTCGTCAGATTTGTATGGTGTCGTATATCTAAGCAACTTCGATCATATTTGTCCCGGCCCGTGATAGGCCCGTTGTTCTCCTACGCTCGTTGTTGGCCCGGGCCAACGATACCATCTTCACAACCTTAAACGGAATCCAGTTTGATATTACATTCATAGGTTCGTTCATAGTGACAATCTGTTTCAAATAAGAGAAGTGAATATTTTAGCACAACGGTTGACCAGAGCTAACAAAACTTCGGAATAACAGCAGTATCAAATACTGAATTAAATAACAATATTAAATAAATAAACTCATAAGTTATTCCACGCATCCAGGAGTTAACAGTAAAATTATTAATATAATAGAAAAATAACAGTAAAGTTTTTAAACATAAAAAAATTAAAAACATTTCTGAAAATAGTATTCCCTTTCACTTTTGTACATATTCAAATTCAAAAACGATATCTTGATCTTAAATTGTACAGAAAACCAAAATTACCCTATAAAACCATAATTAACGAACATCTGGCAACATTGCTAGACAACGATCGCAATTCGCAAGAAAATCGCGCCGGCGCGACAACTCAAACAAGCAGCAGCTGTTTGGAAGGGAGGAGCAACAACCGTAGTCCGTGATCGCTTAATAAAATAAGTGTACAGGGGCGGTGTTAAAATTCTTCCGTCTCGGTCAGAAAATCTATACATATCGAGAAACAATAGTTATTTGTAAATTAAAGGATGTAACTAAAATTTATCAGTCAAGCTCGAGTCTACTTAAGATTTTAACACTTGATTGAGCTTTTAAAAATAATAAAAATATATATACAGCGAGGGGCAAATCACTCCCGCAATACGTGTACAAAATGTCCGCAATCCCATTGAAAATCGCCGCAGTCTCATCAAAATCAGTGACAATCTCTAAGAAATCGCCGCAGTCGTTCCGAATTCGCTCGCAGTCGTTCCGAATTCCCTTGCAGTCCCCCGAATTCTCTAGCAGTCACTGAGCAATCACTAGCAATCGTTAAAAATCGCGCGCAGTAAGGTGACATTAACCAATTAGCCATTGTTGATGTAGGGTGCTTTGATTAAGCCATCTAAACCATTTTGTGTAAAGAAATTGCAGTTTACATTTATCGAAAGGGTCCTTCCGTGCATTTTGAGGCAAGAACTATTAAGTTAAATTTACATTTTGGAATTTAAAGGTTTTTTTAGGATAAATTTAGACACTAAATCTACTTGTATACAAGATTTTACAAGGTGGTCGAAATTTGTCCCTTTTCATCTAGTTTTTTTTTTAATGTATAACAAAATTGTTGGTATTTTATGGGGGTTGGGGTGATACACGTTTTAATTAGGGTTTTAAATGTATTTTTACTTTCCTATCTGTTTACGGATAAGGAAAGTATAGGAATCATGATTTTTTTCAACCTCGAATTTTCGACGGTTTTTTATGTTTTGGGGTATCCTGAATCTGTTTTGACTATTTTCGCGATGATGTCTGTGTGTGTGTCTGTATCCTCGATAACTCATGAACGGATACAAATAGAAACACCAAATTTTAAACTTAAGCTTTATTCCGGCGTCCAATTAGCTGATTAGATTTTGGGCAGAGTCGGAACATTTTGAGGGTACTTTATAGTCATCATTTTTATATTTTATGGAATATATCTGTTATTTACGTTTGGAGAAGAAATTTTTTCAAATAAAAGTTACTTACAATATTATTATCTATAATTTGTTCTATATAAAATTTGGTCCGTATTCGAGAAATTTGACAAAATGTAAAAAAAATATTTTTTTATAAAAATTGTTCAAATAAAAGTTGTTTGTATTATAATTCTCTATAATTTTTGCCCTGTACATAATTTCTCTAAAATGGACCGTATTCGAGATATTTAAGAAAATGTGTAAATTTCGAATTTTAAAGAAAAATCAAAAACGGATAAAGTAAAAAACATTAAATTTTAAACTTAAGTTTCCATAATGAAAAGAGCATTTTTTATGGATTGGAAGATCTTAATATAAAGGATTTTCGAAATTACTAGACAAAAAGTGATTCTGATACCTCATTTTTAAACATAATTGTGAACAACAAAAAAATGAAGGTAAAAAAATCAGCTCTTTGTTGGTTATTTTCCACTGAAGACGGGCGCTTCTCAACTGACAGATTATCTCGTTTAAAAGGAACATCCTCAGCAGTACTAAATAACAAAAAAAAACAAGTCCAGAAAAAACACAGCTAAAATACCAA